AGGGGACAGAGCGAGAGCGAGGGGACAGAGCGAGGGGACAGAGCGAGGGGACAAACAGAGGGGACAGAGCGAGGGGACAAACAGAGGGGACAGAGCGAGGGGACAGAGTGAGGGGACAAACAGAGGGGACAGAGCGAAGGGACAAACAGAGGGGAAAAAAACAGAGGGGACAGAGCGAGGGGACAGAGCGAGGGGACAAACAGAGGGGACAGAGCGCAGGGACAAACAGAGAGGACAGAGCGAGGGGACAAATAGAGGGGACAGAGCGAGGGGACAGAGCGAAGGGACAAACAGAGGGGACAAACAGAGAGGACAGAGCGAGGGGACAAATAGAGGGGACAGAGCGAGGGGCACAGGCGTGAGAGCTTCCGCTGGGTCAAGCCTTGTACAGTACAGAGCTCATCGGAGCACGGCTTCACCTGCCACAACTGCTAATTAAACAGCCTGCATCCGACTGCTACACGAAATTAAACACCAGAATGGGCGGCAGAAGCCGTACGCTAGGGGAAAGTGCTATTCCCAACTGAAAATGTGAAAAACACAACTGTAAGGGAACTCTCTGTGAAAAGGAGCCAAAATTCCTATTTTTAAAGTGCAGGACCAAAGAAACACTCAAGAAGATGCAGCCACAAAAGCTGCGATCAATTCTCAAGCAGGAAAATACCCAAATTCCATGGCTGCTTGGGGCAGGCTACCGAGATGTGCGAGGATCAAGAGAGGTCAGCAGTAAAGCAGGTGTTTAATTTCAGCTGAAGAGTCTGAAGAGAGCAGAAGGGCTTCCAAGGAGCAAAGAACATAAATTATTTCTGTATTTCTCACCAGAACTAACAGGCACTCACTTGTACAGCACTGTCCTGGAAAGCTGTTTGTGTCTTCTTTATTTCTTATTTAACACCAGTACAAGTGGTGCTTGTCTAAACCAATAGACTCCAGCTGGCATGAACTAATACTTGAATGAAACTTGTTCCCTACTAAGTAGTTCACTTTGCAACATTGTCTTAATCAAGCTTGAAAATTCATTATTCATTTTTTGCAAATGTAAACAGCATTAACGAGATTTGTGTCTTGCCCACTGCAGATGTGTAGTTGACAGAAGTAAGACAAACACTGCCCGTGGTTCAACCACATGAAAATGATGTGGGTATCCTGACCAAGAATTGTGTCATCACCTTGAAAACACTGAACACAGAACCAAAACAAAGATCCCAAGATGTGGATATGTGTAAGTGGTCTGATTATTACAAATCATTGACAAACACATACAAAGATGATATCAAGGAAGAGGCATGGGAAAAAATTCTCTGAATAATGAAACTGAACAAGTTTCCGGTTTTTTCCCTCGGAGACAGAAATAAATCACATCAACATTTTACCGTCAAAAGGAAGGAAGGGTGTGAGGGGAAGCCCTTTAAAAGGTTGGTTTAGAAACATCTTTTGTCATGTCAAGAGAAAATTTGAAATAAACTGCCCCAAAAGAACATCACCAGCTTTACATCACCACCAGGCTCAGGTGGGATATCAGCTTCCCGCAGGTCACAAAGGGAGCGCTCCCAAGTGCTCCCACCTGGGGTTTGGAGCCTTCCTCTGTCCTTTGGTGGTGGCGGGGAAGCCTCTCAGCCTACAGAGGGCAACTTCAGAACCTCGGTCTGTGCCCTCGGGGGTCCCTGTTCCTTACCGGTGCC